TATATATATAAATATATGAATACATTGTATATATAATTAAATACATAAATACCACAAATACATCAGATTATATATATAGTATATATATATATATATAATTAATCAGGTGCACTAATGATAAGAAAAATGATTAATTAGAGATGAGAAAAAGCGTTTTAATTTTCAACTTTTTAAACTTCAAAGTTGAAAATTGAACTTTAACTTTTCCGATTAGAGAGTAAATTTTTTTACATTTTTTAACCAGCAAATTTAATTAACCGGAAAAAAAAAGGATATTATTGTTCAATAACTCACCTCATCAGCCATTAGAAATAATTTATTCTTATAAGCAAATTTGATAATTTCTTCAACATTATCCCTCGGTAAAACTTGCCCTGAAATAACCATATAAGTAACTTTCTTTCTTAATTCAAAAGTAATGATATTTTTCCTTTTTCAAATTGTACTTTGAAAAAGAACAAAAATAAATACTTCATACATTCACATATTAACCGTAGTTATTTGCTTTTCATTTCGTTTACCTGTTTACACTTATTATTTTACTGCTTGATTTTACTCAGCAAACTAAATGTAAATATTTTGCACATATAATCTTCAACCTATTTATCTGTTTGTTTCACGCTAAATTATCTTGTGCTTTTTACTAGTTTATGTCTCTCTCTCTCTCTCATATTTTTCCCAGGAAAAAAATTCGAAAATTCGAAAAATTCCAATTTGCAAAGTAATTAATGATTAGGATTCAATTCTGGAAACAGACAATGCAAATTATGTATGTGTACCTGTTGGATTACCAGGATTGATAACACAAAGCACTTGGGTATTGAATTCACTCAAAGATTCCCTGTAGGCTTTTTCGAGTTCGTCAATATTCAATGCCCAATTATTACTTTCATCTAAGTAATAGCCTACCTTAACATATCATATTCAAAACTATCAATATTTCATTCAATAAATTTAAAATTCTTATTTGCAAAATTCGTCAAATATAAATTTATGTATATATAATACAAATTTTATATCTATTACTGATTGCTCTTTTATAACTTCCAATCATCACTAAACTAACCAATCCAAGGCCAAATTCCACGATCGATGCAGAATAGAGAGGATATTGTGGAATGGATATCATTACACCCTTTTTTCTCTTCCTATCATCAATAAATAATTTCAAAATATGCTGAAATGAAATTTTCAGGAAAAAAAGAAAAAGAATTTCATAGTTATAATAATTTCAAAAAAATTAGGGGAGAGAGAGAGAGGGAAGTAAAATACATTTTAGAGATTGCCAATAAAATGATCAGATGAAACTTTTCAGCGCTGTAGCTATGGGATTAACAAATAAATAGCATAATAAAAAATATGCGAAAGTTATAATTTCAAAGTCCAGAAAATGAATAATGTTTCGGTTAGTTCAAAGGCAAAAAAAACCATATCATTTTTCAAAATTATAAATTCTCAATAAAATACTTCTTTTCAAAGAATTTTACAATCATAAGCTTACTTCTCTAACTAACAAAAAGCCATTTGACACATCATTTTGGTAGATTAAAAAGAAACGAAGAAAGGAACATTTTGTAATGTTGTCGATTTTTAGAAGTTACTTTATAATATTCAAATTCATACACGTATGCTCTCTGAAGCTCCTGAGGATAAAAGTATATGCTGAGGATCCGATGGAATACCACCATCTCGACGAGTAATATATTCTGCTACATGTTTTCTGATAACTTCAATGCCACTACTATGGCTAAAATTTCGTCTCTTAAAATTTCATATTTTCCAAGAATAGCCCACTCACTCTCAATGTATCATGCTAAATACTAATGATATACTAAGTAAATAATTCAATCTTTTAAATTGCTCTCTTCCAATAATAACCTTATGATTCTGATATTTCTCATATACTAATTGTTTTTGTTTTTCAAAATTTCCAAATCTCAACCATTGCTTTCTCTAACGTGTAAAAAATCATAAAAGTAAATGTGATTAAACAATAAACTAACTTCAAAGGAAAAATAAATTTTAATGGAAAACTATAGATTTAACATCAACGAAAATTTAAATATTAAATAACAGCAAAAATCTATCACCTGTAAGAACCAATGCTATTTCCGGAGCAACCACTAAGCAACAATTCTGCACGCTGCTTAACATCTGACGGATATTTTTCAGAATTCACTAACGACGGATCACTTACACATGCCAAAACCTTGATATTATATTATTTCAAAATGCAGTTGCATAATTAATAGCAATTTTTCCGAAATATTCAAATAATAAATACATATTTACCTGTTTCATTAAATCATCAAAATCATCCGTTAATAACTACCATTAAAGTAAATAAATATTGAAATAGATGAGAAATTGCATGGAATACTAACGATTCCAGAAATTTTATTAATTCATTTCATAAATTTTATGCCTGTTTTAAATTTATATTATGGAAGGAATTCAGTTTTTTCGTTTCATTACTTATAAACCATCAAAACATCTAATTAATGAATATCATCTAATAGGCAAAAAAATCGAGAGCCAAAAAAGTCTTAAGAATTAAAAATGAATTAATTAGCAATCATTAAGTATTGTTAATTCCTTCTAATGAATATTTACATAATTAGGAGAGAAAGAGATGGAGTAATATAGCGATTTCGATAATGACTACGCAAAAAAAATTTCAGCAAATTTCCTTCCAACAGAATATACAAACTGAAATTTTCAAACCTGTCGAATAAAACTAATCGGTTTTTGACCCATCGCATGAGCATCACCAATATTTGCTTTGATAACATTATTGAATGATTTTTTTATACCCTAAAATTAAATAGTTTTATTGATACGGTATATAAGAAGCATTTTTAAAAATTTCATTAAATTCTTTTTAAACTTTTCTTCCACCAATTTTACATCGCATTTGTTTGTATCAAACCTTTTGTGAATTGAACATTGTAATTATAATGTAAATTATGGAAATGGGACAGCATCCCCCTGAAATTTTGGAAATGCTGACGAACTAGCACTTAATCAGTGAAAATCGATCAATTAGAAAGATGCAGCACCGTAATCAAAATGCAGAAGAAAAATTTATTATTATAATTTTCATGGAACCTTAAAATAGCTAAAATGAATAAACAAAAAAGGTTAAAATAAAATGAATAAGCAAAAAAGGCTTTAAAATAGCTAAAATGTATAAGCATTTATTTATGTAATTAAAGGTAAATTGAACAAACAATGCTCTATTTCTATCCCTAATAAATTATTAAAACTAATTAAAAGATTCTAAAGTAATCTTTTCAACCCAAATTGACTACTAACTTTATGCATAGGAAAAAGTGAGTGCTCATTAAACAATAATTAGTAAATGAATATAAAAAATTAAAATACTGAAAAATATTACTGGACTGAAAGATGAATAAATTAGCTAAGATGAATTTTACCAATTATCGAATTTATATTTCTTATTTTTTCTCTGAATTATCAAACTTTACGACTTATATTATAATAAATAAAATAATTTATTAAGCATTACCATTTCTAATTCTTTTTCAATATCCGAAGCACGGATAACTAATGGACCACGAACAGCATATTCCATAGCAATCAAATTAGGATTCATATTTTCCAATGTAAGAATACGATTTGTTGAAGTCATTAGACGAATTTGTTGATAGATACGATAACGTTGACAGGAAAAATTTACGGATAGCAAAAATGATGAAACGGAATTTGTCGTCGCATCGATTGCTTTTCGAACGAAAATAATTGTCATTCTAAAATTAATTAATTACAAATTATTTTATAACAATTTTTATTATTCTTTGAATGTTTTAAATATTAGGATATTTTTTCTTCATCTATTTTAAAAGATCCATTCATTTACCTACTTATTTTTGATCAATGAGATACGAAAGAAAAACCGATCATGTTACGCTCATTTGTTTACAAATGTTTATTTACCAGTAAAAGTTAGCAATTCTAAAATACAATCTTTTCTTTTTGATTCACAAAATAATACAAACAAATGAAAAGAAGAAATCAGAAAGAACCGGATTATACCAATAAGAATGATTGATTTATCAAACTGAAAATATTATTGATAAATCAGGAATCTCTTATTTTAGAATCATTAGAGGAAATGATAAAAACAATAACATGACAAAAACAAAAAAAAAACAAAAGATGAAAAAAATTAAATAACTCAATAAATATTGAAATTATAATTTAATTCAATTTATTGCTATATTCATAATAAAATTCGGATCTTAAAATAAAACAATTTAAAAAAAATCAATCATTCCTTTTAATTCATTTGCAATTGAGAAAGAAAAATGAAAGATGACATTGAAAAAAGTGGTAATTTATCGATCATTGAAAACTTACTTCATCAAATAATTTCGCATTAACAAATAGGAAATAGCAGGAAACACTACTGCCTATAAATTAAATATAATAATTGATTTGTTCAAAAATAATGAATACTGACAACAATTTCAGAAATATTGGTTGGTATGGTTGATCCGTTGAGGTAAGTGACAAAAACATAACCAGATTATAGCGATGAATCAATACAGAAGGATTGATTTGTTGAAAATTGAAATGATTGACAATAGTTCCGCTCAGCAATGTTATCTTTCAACCGTTCAATAACACTATTGAAAGATAAAAAAGAAAAAACTATACCTACCACCCAAAAAAACAATCCGTTGAAGAAAATAAATAAAATATAATCGATTGATCTACAATATTTCAGTTATACTATTGCTCTATTGTTTAACAATTATTTATATTGGAAGGTTAAAGGTTAACAGAGAATAAAAATTACATAAGAAGCAAAAAATATTTTTTTTTAAAAATCATTGAGTCTATTTTTAGGCTAAAAAAAGTTAAATAACTAAATGAATAATAAAATTATAATTTAATTAAATGCATTCATAATGAAATCAAATAATAAATAAAAACAATGAAATTTAAATAAATGAAAACAATGAAGTAAAATAATTGAAAGAAAATGAAAGATGACACTGAAGAGGTAGCAAATTTATCGATCCACAAAGGCTCTTCAAAATGATTTTAGCACAAACCAATAGGAGATATGCCTAGAGAGATATATGTCTGTTGTACAGCTATAACAATAAGGATTATCATCTCTCTCTTTTTTTTATAATTTCAATTAATTTCTCTTTTTCTGATTAAAAAAAAAGGAGAAATTTTTGGTAAGAAATTAATTAAAAGTTTCGCCAAGTAATTATAATATATAAATTATAATTCATAAAATTTCATTTATCAAAAGATGCTTGAAATTTTTTCAAAAAGGAAAAGTATTTCTCAATTTCTTGTTCCTTATTTATTTTACTATTAACAAAAAGATCGAGTGGGAAGAGAAAAGGAAAAGTAATATTGGAAATGGAAAAGGAAGAGAGTAGATGATATTGGGAATGAAAAAAAGAAAAGATGAAGTGATATTGGAAATGAAACGAAAAAGGGAAGATGATATTGGGAATGAAAAGGAAAAGACTAGATGATATTGGAAATGAAAAAGGAAAAGATTAAGTGATATTGGGAATGAGAGAAAGAAAAGATTAGATGATATTGGAAATGGAAAAGGAAAAGACTAGATGATATTGGAAATGAAAAAGGAAAAGATTAAGTGATATTGGGAATGAGAGAAAGAAAAGATTAGATGATATTGGGAATGAAAAGGAAAAGACTAGATGATATTGGAAATGAAAAAGGAAAAGATTAAGTGATATTGGGAATGAGAGAAAGAAAAGATAAGGTAATATTAGAAGTGGAAAAAAAGAAGAGGTGATATTGGATATGAAAAAAGTAAAGGAGAGGTAATATTGGTGGAAATGAAAAAGGAAAATGAAAAGGGAAGGTGATAATGAAAATGGAAAAAGAAAAGGTGAAATTGAAGTTGAACAATAATTAAAGTTCAAAAGTAAGTAAGCGTTAGGCTATCTTATGCACCAACAAATAGCTTTCTATTACATTTTGCAAAATGACAAAAAAAAATTCCCTGAATTATTTCATTCGTCGTAAAATCTAATTTCCTACATGGGAATTCATTTATTGTTTGTTATATGTTTTCATTGAATACATCAACTATGTCAAAAAATTTCGACATGAAGGATTTTAGCAGAAATAATAAAGTGATATTGAAGACTATTTTTACCCCATTCCCTTTCACTTTTTTTATTCCGGAACAAGTTTGTAAGTAGCGAATTGGTTTCGAAATCAATCATTTAGAATTGGTTAAAGACATTTTTGAAGAATTCCTTCTTATCACATGTGGGTGGTATAACTTTATGTAACTATCTATACATGAATATATAATTTGATTATAATTGCATATTGTTTTTATATTTACATAATGATATTATACAATTTATTTTCTCCTATTACTATATCAATTAATTATCACCTTATTTCTTGAATGTTCGGAATTTTTTGAAAAATTTATCAAAAATTCCAATAAACTTTATAGTTTCTTTATTAATGTCTACGATCTTTAATTTTCTTTCCAATACAAATTAGGTTAACAAAGGTAATATGACCTTCACCATACCTGTATATGTGAAGATCATATTATCTTTGTAGTGGATTGTAAAAATTTGCTCAATTGACATTTATTTGACTTGATTTACTTCTATCCAAAATTTTCAAATAACGTAAGGCGCGGAAAAAAAAATGAAAAAATTCATCCAACATCTCAGAATTTGGAATCTTAATATTCATATCTACTACCTATTCACTTTCATGATTATCTTACTAACATGTAAATTATATTACAACCTAACATAAACACCCTCACTTGTATATTTTAATTATGAAAGAAAAAAGATAATAATATCCGGAAAATTTTTCATAAGAAACAATTTTTTTGCCTTAATATAAAATGAAAAATTAAATGTCATTGATAATAAATGATAATATCAAAGAATAAAACTAACAGTAATGATTTGTAAATATAACAAATATAATGGTAAGTATAATGGTATTTATAAATATAATGGTTTTTAAATATAACAAACAAGCAAATCAGATGGTGACCTGCTGATACATTCAAATCAAAAAACTGATTTCCGTTTTTTTCAAGCTATAGAAAAGTTGGACTACAAAAATTTTGCAACAATAATTGTATATTGAAAACTTTACTGTACAGCTTTATAATACTATTATTGTTAAGGAATGTTATGCGAATAGTTATTTAAAAAGTAAAAATTTAAACTATAAAGAGATATTGATAAGCTTTGAAAAATTCAGAGAATCTTACCAAGATTAATTCAATTTTTCCTACCGATGGGAAAAACTTCATTAGATTTCGGCAACTCAAAATAACTTCATATTATATAATATAAAGATATTCACATAACTGTACTTAGTATCGCTCTATTGAAATTTATGTTATAAAAATCTTTGTTTCAAATATTCTCAGCTAAATGATTTGGGGTTTGTCTAATATTACAATTCATTATTCTATAGAATACTTAAATGAGTAGATCGTTTTTATCGTTAGCTTTATATCTATATATGTTCAAGCAATTCTTTGTTAACAACCATTATCAATTTCATCTATTATAAACGATGCCAGGTGTTTCTTTGTTCACCATCAATTTCTTTGTCTATTTATTACAGAGATTGCTCACCAAACATCATCGCCCGATCCGAACTGTCTTGCGATCTACTCTATTGAATCACTTTCTCAACAAATAGTCCATTTAAGTCTTCTCCCTGATTAGCTGCAAAGATGACCGACCAAGTGACTGAGTTAATTGGTATTTTTTTGATCGTGTTTATAATGCTAAGAATAAACTTTTCCATTAAATAACCCTTCACTACTATTTGACTATGCCAAACTAAAGCTCTCCCAGAACAAAAAATCCCTACCTAGCATTAGATATATATAAAAAGCAATATTTAAGTATAATTAATTATCATATCTATAAAACTTAAAACAAAAGAAAACTCCCAATAACTTGTTACTTCAGTTCCTGAATTTCATTTAATAATTTTAGATCTCCAACTTTCTAATAATTACTGATCTTCCAACTTTCTAATAATTACGGATCTTTCAATCTAATAATTACAGACCTTCCAACTTTCTCAATCACAAATATATCTTGTTATCGAAATTTACCTTGCAATCGTGATCGAAACATTTTTTGGTATTTTCACGTATGCGCAAATTAGCAAATTGATAGTTTCATGAATGAGTCTTGTTTGATCGAAATATATCTTACGATTTTCACAAACGCAAATTAATTACTGAAAATACATAATATATGCAAATGGAATGGTACTAGAAAAAAAAAAACGAAATAATTATTAAAATTATTTTAGTATTCGCAAACAACATCAATAATAGTGGGATAGTAGAACATTTGCTATTGAATTATAGAATAATACATTTCAATTAATTATGATTGGTTATATTTACATTTATGCTCATTCATTCATACCTAAAGCAATTATAACGCTAATTTCTTTTCAAATTGAAATTCAACGAACTGAACAGCGAAATGAAAAGCAAAATATAAATGAAATGAAATAGAATTTTACGTTGTTATTTGGAAGAGATTTTGTTCATTTGTTCATTTCCCTATTTTGATAAAATTAAATTGGCAAAAACAAAAATGTGTTTTCTTTGAAGGACAAAGTACATTGGAAGCTTTTGAATCGCCATACTACATCATAATACTACATCATGAATCGCCATACTACATCATAATCTTATCATTTCAATTAGCATAATGGTATTTTTATATTGAACGTAAATTAGACGGGGTAAATTACGGATACAAATTTCATAAATTTAAAGTATGAAAATGAAAGTTAAGCGGTAAAATTTCAATTTCGAAATTGAATTACTTTTTCAATTTAATAATGTACTATTTTAGTCATTTCGTCTTAATTGAATGCAATTATAATTGTTAATGAATCAGCCTTTCAAAATCTAATGAATGAGAATAAAACTTCTAGGTTTCCAGTAATGCCAGTTTTTCTATATTACTTCCGGTCGATTGCTTATGATCATTTAAAAAAATTATTCTAAAAACAGGTATAAATTCGGGTTTGAAATGATGATTGTATAATTTTGTATCCATTGTATAATTAATATAATATCCATTGTATAATTAATATAACATAATTAATGGAGCATTGAATGGAAAAGATATATTGATGATAAATTAGATATCCTATGAAATGGTCATCCAAGAGTTGGAATGAGCTGTTGAATTCTATTTCGAGAACAAACAAAAGAGATGAATATTACCAATACTACCAGAGTGAACGTATTTGATAGTTGATCTGTTTATTGCATTATGCAATAATCAGGATGGAAAGCAACAATCAATAATCCAAATATTTATTGCATCATGCAATAATCAAATGCTGAAATCGGAAAGAGAAACAGGGGGAGGAATGCGTCAACTTTCAATTTCTGCAGTACTGATATTTATTATGCTTTTGCAACAGCTTTTTGCTTAAGAGATGAATTTGGATAGATGGCATCTGAGAAATAATAAACATGATGTGGAGATAGTAATTAAGGCATTGTGTATTAAACCGTAAGGCAAGAAATTCTTATCTGGAAATATTTCAAGTTTTATACTTGAAATGGCAATTCTTAAGTTGCATGCATATAAAGAGGACAGTTCTCGAAATGTGTAAATCAAGTAGAGGATCAAGTTTTATACTTGAAATGGTAGTTCTTGAGTTGCATGCACATAAAGAGGACAGTTATCGAAATGTGTAAATCAAGGAGAAGACAGTTCTCGAAATATGTATACCAAGGAGAGGATAGTCTCGAAATATGTATGCCAAGGAGAGCACAGTCTCGAAGCATGTACATCAGGGAGAGGACAGTTCTCGAAATATGTACATCAAGGAGAGGACAGTTCTCGAAATATGTACATCAAAGAGAGGACAGTTCTCGAAATATGTACATCAAGGAGAGGACAGTCTCGAAATATGTACATCAAGGAGAGGATAATTCTCGAAGTATGTACATCAAGGAGAGGACAGTTCTCGAAATATGCACGTGAAGAGAAATATATATCTGAAGAGGACAGTTCTCAAGTTATGCATATGAATTTAATAATATAATTATAAAATTAAATTTAATATTATAATTATAATTTGATAATATAATTATAATATAATATAAATTTCAATAATATAATGTAAATAATATAATATAATAGTAACATAATATAATAAATAATATAGTAATCATATAATATAAATTTCGGGTTACACATGTGAAAGAAAGGACAGTCCTTGAGTTACAACTCCATCCATCTCACTGTAACATTTAAACATTTCGTCTGCTTGCTATCACGTCTTCTCAAACGATTGTTTGCAATGGGAAACGGTAACAGCGGAAATCTTTAACATCAACTTAACACATTTGTGGTGCGAAATTGATTCATTAGATGTGTAGTCCGTTTTCATGGGTAATTCATTATAGCCATTTAATTTAATTCTGTCGAATATTTCGAATCAAAACATGTCCAAACCTATATTGTGTAAGATCGTCTGTCTGTATTCTGTCGAGTATTTTGAACTCGAAATGTGATCAAACATTTCCGATAATATGAAAAGTTAAATAGGTTCAAATAATAGTGTCAAATAAATTTAATAAAGTAACATTCATCCATTCAGCCAAACTTTTCAGATGAATGAAATGGCTACGGATGAGATTATATGCTGCAATTGCGAAATTTCATTAGTACCAACAACGTATATATATGTTCAATGCGATAATTGTCAAAAGAAAGGATTTGATGTTAAACTATGCGTGTCTGTATGTATTATACTTTTTTCCTATCCTCAGATTTAAGTTAAGCTTTTAAAATGAAGAGTTGAAGAATGTTTTACATTAAAATAGAAATAAATAGATTATCCATTTGATCAGCTTATTAGCTAATTAGGCTTATTGGATTTATTTTTGTCTGCTAAGCATTTAGGAAAAGTTTGCTTTATATTATTGGAATTGTTATCATAATTTTTATTGTATACAAAGTGAGACTGAAAGATGTTAGATGTAATAAGATGTAGAGATGGTAAATATTGTTCGAATCAAATGTGGTATTATCATTAGTAACTGATATAGTGCGATAATTAATATGGAAATTTATTTTGCAGCAAATATATCTGTGTATTTAATCAAAAGATACAAAAGAAATGGATCTTCCAAGCGATAAGATAGACTGGTACATTAGTGTAGTGTAAGCGATTTCAAATGTGAGATGATATGAGAACGAAGGCTATCTGCTGTGTCACAATTTTTTTTCTTTTTAAGTAAAAGCGATAATTATAATTGTAATATAGTTTGCAGTGTTTCCGGATGGGTGCTGAATGTGGTCCTCACAAGCGTGGACATGCGTATACTGTTATAGATCGTAAAGGACCTCCATTATTTCAAACAACATCTGATAAGCATTGGGGTTGGAAAGAAGATTTGAACTTAATCAAAGCAGCACATAAGCATAAATTAGGCAATTGGTATGTGAAGTATTGAAAAGATTTTGCATGCTTTCGATAATATATAATCATAGGCACAGTTCAATCTGGTTCGAGTTTCATCCTTCTTTCTCTTGTAACTGTCCGCGAACCTATTTGCACTTTTTTAATGTTGGTCATATCTGTGTAAAACTGTAGAGAACTCCGACGGCTGTTATTGGAAATACAGTAGAATAATGTCATGCTATAACACTGGCATTCACTGCTTTAAACTATATGAAATTAAGAAATAAATATTGTCTGTTAGGAATTTTAAGTGGATTTTTTCCACTAGATAGATTTATGTTGGTTGTATTTGTCACTGTTCATCGTTCAGGGAAGAAATTGCGTCAGAATTGGGTACCGATAAAACTGCCGACGACGCTAGGAAACGTTTTGATCAGTTTTTTATACGTGGTCCCTTTGGTCGATATGCAGCAGGTGTTAGTTCAGGGTAATTTTCGTCCTAATGTTCATTTTATGTTAGACTACGTTTACAATAAAATTGCAATTACGACATAAATTTAAAGTTTTGTTCTTATGCTCTTTCCTGATGATAAAATTGAATAATAGATATGTTTCTTTCAATGAAACAGTTTCTTTCGATGTCATCTTGCTGTACTCTCAGCTAGTTTCTTTAGGCTCCCTCCCTTTCATATATTATTTTTTATGGGTATCACTCAATCTTCTGGTAAAATATCTCATTCGATAGATTTCACTTATTCTTGAGTCTGCTACTTGCATTATTTGTTGGTGCAATCAACAGTTTCTTTTTGTACATAATTTGAAGAACGCACTATTTTATCAGTTTTTGATCATCATGTTTTGAAAAGAGAAGGGTAACAGATTGTATAAAAGTTTATACTTATACGTTTGTTTCGATTTCATTATTTTCCAGGCCATATGTCGATAGTCAAAAAGGTGAAGAAATGAATTTGTCACCTGGTTCAAATGTGGTTGGTCAAGGACAGGCAGTGGGTAGTTCAAATTGGCAATGTATGTTTTATTTGTTTCATTTTGCGTCTTGGAGCGTCTAAATAGTCTTTTAAAGATATGTTTACTTTCCAGATATTGCGGAATTTTTCCGTGACTGGAACCAATCTGTAAATTTTGACGATCCAAACTGGTTCGACCAATTTGAAGGGCCTTTAATGAAGTTTAAGAGTGAGTTTTGTACTTCACAAGTGCGAAGCCCAACAAGAAAGAATGATGATGAGTTGTGCAGTTTTGAAAAAAGTGATGATCCACATCTCACTTCTGTGACTCCACCTCTATCACCATTTTCTGTGGAATTCTTCAGAGTGAGTTTTTTGCTCCATCCCATTTTTACACTGTCGTAATTAAAGGATTTCTCCTCTAGATTGCTTATCCTGTCTAAAACTAGCTCTACCTAGTCACTTTTGGAAAACATTTTGAGCTGAAAGGAATGACTTATATTCATCATAAGAGTTTTATATAATTTTTTTTTCAGTCAGATGAGGGAAAAAGAAAGAGATTACTCTCTGCGAGTGATTTTGATGAGGTAAGTCAATTTGCAGTTATATCAAATTGCGCATAGATAGTATGTGAAATATCGGTTTTATTTTTCATTTCATTTTTAGAGCGATGGTGAAGGGACAGCTAACTCAGAGAGCAGTAATTCATGTGATTATAAGGCTGAGTTAACAACTCTGTGTTCAAAGAAGAGTGATAGTCGTAGTGCTCATGTTTATCGCAACTCATCAGACGCCATGCGCAGCATAGATGAAGGAAGTGGTTGGTTGTTTCATTGTTACATTTTGTATTTTTCGAATTCTGCTAACTTGTAATACTTACTTTAATTACATTCTTTTTTAATATTTACAAAAAAACGAAAGTTTTCGTAGTTTCTAAAAAGATATTGCCCATGTCTTCGGTGAAGTTAAAGAAGATTTGGCGGCTAAATGTTAGAGAAACCGAAATACTGATAGTGCGATAATCTTGATGAATTATACTGGAAGTTTTAGAACCGGGACCGGAACAAAAGTATGAAAAAAAGAAGCCAATATTGCAGTTGAAGCGCGTTGAAAGAAAGAGACGAAAAAAAGACTACAAAGAAAAATTATTTTTGAAGGTAACCACTTTATTTTTGGGCTTTTCTTCTACTTTTATTTTTTCAGCTTTAACTTTTCATAACAGTGATAGCAGCTAAAGTGATGTTAGTTATCATCTCGTTAATGTTTCTATTTTATTATCTCTTAGTTTAGTAATTTTCAAGTTTTTTTAGAGCTGTATTCAGAGATGTGTATGTGTTAATCATGTCTTCAACTATTGGAACTTTTGTTTCACAAGCCAACAAAAAGAGTATTTAAACATATACCTTGTTCAGGAGGCGTGCAAAGGGAAACTTCTGGTTAAAATAGATGAAGATGTGAAGAAACAGTTGCGAGAATTTCATCCACAGCAATTTTATGCAAACGTCTCATTACCATCTTTAGGAGCAGAAGAACGTTTAAAATTAAAGGATAGCGATCTTCAATTATTGGGATACATGCCGGAAAGAGAGGATTTTGAGTGGGTCAGTTATTAGTGTATATTTTTATTTCTTTTCTTTATTCTTCATTTTCTATGCAAAATAAAGAATTCTGTCATGTTTTTCACCAAAAATTCACTTCCAGATCTTCCATTCTATTTTTTTATCTAATATATCCTGATTTTCGATATAGAATTTGCAATATATGCTGCACTCTATAATGCCATAGATTTTAGGAATTCATGAATGATGCAGAAAAGTTAATTAGTCGTTTAATACTGCAACCAGAGCCTGATACAGATGAAGACAGTGCCTTTGAAAGTGGTGAGCTTTTATTCTCGCTTTTAAACGTTTTATTTAATTCAACTGCTCTCATTCATCGCTTATTGATTATAGACGATGCATCGTGTAATTAAGTGTGCTTTAAACATTGTGAGTTTTTAACATATAACTAGAGGACTAAAGTATTCAAACCAAAAGCACTAAAGTATTCAAACCAAAAAAGCATAAGAAGGAAGTGAAGGAAAAAAATTGTTTATTTCCCTGAGCTAGCATTTCACGTTGCTATTAAAACATTATTCAGCATCATTATCAAATTTTTTCAGCTGTAAAATTAGCTAAGGTGCAGAAATATAATCGAATCTTGAAACAGAGAAAAGCGAAAAAAGCAGCTGTCAAGGAATATGAACTTGTAAACAAGTTTTTTGACAAGATTAAGGTAGTTATTTTTGTATAGCTTGTAGTAATTATGAAAAGTACTTCCTTTTATTTTTTAGCCACATTCTGCAACTAATAAGTTAACATCGATGTTAATCAGTGATAAAAGATAAAATTTATGTAACATTATCGAAAAATCATATCGTGACAAAATATATATATCATCTAGGCTTAGTATTTGTTGTCTTAGTATGTCTTCCTTTTGTCTTAGTGAACTTTATGAATCAGTTAATTATGGGAGTAAGATTGTTAGCTGTGATAAAATATAATTTTCAGAAAATAGAGGAAACACGTCGAAGTTTGACACACAATCAGCATTATTCAGCTTCGGCACGCCAGCGCGAACTACTTCACTCGTTTCTGAAGAAAACTTATCAAGTAGTGAGACAATCGGAGTTAAAGCAGTTACTTGATGCGATCACAGGTAATACGAGAATAATTTTTCTATTCCAAAAAAAGGAATTTTTTTCTGCCTTGTTTTCAATTGTGGTTTTTGTATTAAAATGGATTTCAATTTTTGATCACAAATGGTTGTACATTTTAATTGGAACCATTCAAAATGATTTTAGGTTATATTAACTTGAATGAAAAAATTTCGAATTTGGAAAATCATAGAGTGGATGGTATCAAGGATTCGAAAAATTTTTCATAATTTAGCAAACTTCATTATTATTGTTATCATTGTTGTCATTAGCAACCGCTGCGTAATTGTTTTCATACTAGAGCAATCGAATTATATGTTTCTAAAACTTTTAATCCTCCTATAACTCGTCAAAGCATGATTGTCTATATCCATTCAATTTATCTTTGGAAGGTATAACATAATTATTTTAAGGACAGAATTTGTGATGGTTAGAAAAGTAAACCTAACTGTTGTCAGCTCCATTCCAATAATATGTTGGCGGAAGCGAATATATTTTTTAGACAAGAGGAGATAACCTCGACAGTCGAATCAGTGAGCGTTAAACAAGCTTGAGATTTTCATGTGGAGTGCATAGTCGTGTCCGATATGCATTTGTTTGCAGCACCATAGATGGTTTTGAAAGCGACCAATAAATTTATTGAGCTAGAGGGATGTTCCAGCATCTCAGGACATATCAGAAGTATGGAATACAATACGGTGGTGTAGATAGTATGGAATACAATACGGTGGTGTAGATAGTCCATCCAGTTAACCTGAATATACCTTGTAGGATCTCGTGGGGTTCACTTCCCTCCGCTATAACGACACCCAGATATTAATTAGATTGCAGATCTTAATAATGGCTTTATATATAGTTGTCCCGAAACTTTAGCATGATGTAAAAAATAGCACAGCATTTCTTGAATTTAGCCGAATTGACATTGAGGACTACAGTTATAAAACGATGGTGACATATGAGATAGAACTGTGGTGTTGCATAGAATTAGAATTTGATTGGTTATACTTTACTGGAAAAGTTTCAGATGCTAGGTATTCAAGGATTAATTGTGTTTGGCAAAATACACAGATGGATTATGTTATGGTTTATAAATAGGAAAAATATTTCAAAATGCTAGGAAAGATACTTTAGGAATATTTGGTTTCGAGAGATTTACTGCCATTTCAAGCATTCCATATAAATCGGTGGATTGAGACCGATTTTGTTTTCAAGTTTCTAATTTCAGCTTGGCATATACTCAAATGATAGCATTATCAAATTTTTTGAGATTTTATTCGGTATAAAATGAGTTTTATGATTGCATATATCTTGTATTATGAGTGCCCCGTAATCTTTCTGTGGTATGTAATATCGAATGCATTTCATTAGTGAAGTGTCAAGTGTTTTCTTTTGCTGTAAAGATTGTTTTTTCTTGTATATATTTAAGCATTATAATATTTCATCATTATTTAATCACGAAATAAGTTCATGAAGAAGTATTTAGCAGGTAACAAAACTGATAAGGTAATAAAATTTATTAATCAAATTTAAATTTAGTTATCTGTTGAGAGCAGTCTTTCATTAAACCTTAATAGCATCAAAAAAAGCGATTAAGCAAACAAATTATAAATTAAACTATAAAGTAAATATAAAGTAAAATTTAATTTATAGAACAAAAAACCAGAAATTTGGAATATTTTTAAGAATTTTAAAATATTTTTAAAATTATCATGTAATTTTTCCGAAGAAAACTTCTAAAAAATTGATTTTTAATTTATGTAAGAAATATAATTTAAGAAAAAAGTCATATAATTTAAAAATCAAAAAATTAATTTTAGTATTATTACAATTTCTTCAATGCTATGTTCAAATTTTTGTGATATACGGCGGCAATTCTTATCACCTTTTGATTCTTTCATTTGTACATTAAATTCAAAATGAGCATTTAATCGTATTGTCAAATAGTATCTATTCAAACGCTTAATAAATAAATCTTATATAAAATAATATAGCATCCTTTTCCTACACAACCAATAAATAAAAGTTTTAATTCTAAATTTTGTTTTCGAGCTACTAATAAATCTTTATTGAACTAATTAATATTAATTAAATGTTACTAGTTATGATTACTTACTTCTCCTATAAGTTAAAATTAAACTGCGCATAAAGACATGATAAGTAAAAACATGACATTGTAGAAACCGTGTCAATTCTGGTTGGTTCCAGCGATTCTGGCAGATTCAATTCCGATACATTAGATATCATAAGTTTCACTTTCATATTTTAGCAGTTTCGTGGTAACTACGCAAGAGACAGATTGTATTGTTAAAGCTTGAAATATGTAATTATCGACATGTTATTCTGACGATAGAAAGTGATGCACCGTTCCAGTTATCAAGACCTCGATACACAAGATACATCAGATGTTACTTGAATGAACTATCTAAAACACTAACTAGATTATGTTCATAATCCTTTCAATATGTATTACCCTGAGATCGTGAAATATTCAAGTAGCCCATGTGAATTTACTGGTCATTTTTCAATATATCCCAATAAAACATTGAAGAGAAAAAACATAATATAAACAAGAATGTGAAGTAAAAAACCATTTTGAATTTTGTGAAGATTCATTCATTCGTTGAATACTATTGCGATCATAGACTATATAATTACCAAATCTGATATCATACTTCCCGCTTGAATAGTATCACCAATCAATCCTGATATTATACGAATTGTAAGAGAGAGACACACACACACATGCACACACACACACACATACACACATACACACACAACACAGAAAATATCTTATACACATTTAAATTCATTCATTAATTTGTAAGAGAAAAAGAACGATAAAAATTACATTTAAAAAAAAAGCTGCATAACACACCGTAAATTAATTAATTAGACTTAAAAGAAAAACAGATAATGTGATATGTCCCGTTTATATTATTTAAAGTCAATGATGTTAAATGACAATCCGAAAAAGGACATAAAATTCTTCTCTTTCTTTTTCTTTACCTTACTAATAATATGCTACTAATATAAGAGCTTTAAAAAAAAAACTAAACGAATACTGTAACAGTAAATTATTGTATGAGCATTCTCGAAAATATTTTTTAGCAATTAATATGATGATATTGTAAAAACACAATAAATTATAAAACAAAAATAAAGCTGCTGTTGGTAATGAAAAATAAAACAAACAAACATTAAAAAACACACAATAAACAACAGCAAGAAAATAATATATATCACAACTGCCTGATGACAAATAAAAAATTCTGTACAAAATAATATTTACGAGAAGATAATACACACTTTAACGAAATATTCAGTATACTCAGATTTGTTTTTAATTTCATTAATCAAATAAGAGAATTGGAAAAAATACTGAGTGATAAAGGAAACGACGACAAATAAATATGTAATAAATCAGTGATGACAAGGAAAGATGCTTATTGCATATAATGCATCATCTATTTCATTTTGTAAGTATAATAAAGAAATAAAGAATATATTCAACTATAATCTCACTATAGACAGATAGTATTATTGTCTAAGTAATTGCTCCGGAAAAATCACAGAAATAATTCTAATTCTATAACGACTGCCCCGAATTAGGAATGAAACTATTGCAACGTGTTTACAACATATCATTTATTTTGGTACAGTTGCGAAACCCTCTATCATTCCATAAGATATTCGAATGCATCGATGCTTAATTATAAAATAAAGATAAATAAATGAAAAATCATAAATTACAGAAAATATATACATGTTGCACGCATAATTTTTAGTTATTCGAAGCAGCTACATTTGTGGGAATTTCGTGCATCTATATTAGTCAGTGAGAGAATACCATTAAATTGGGCGATTTCAGTAAATAATTTTGGCTGAAAGTTTCCTATCACTCCACATATAAGGGAACACTATTCTGCAGATGTAAATTATATAAACTACATCAGCTTCTACGAAATACCATCATCTCGCGCTCAAAAAAAATTTCAAATATCAGTGACGGAATTGGCGTAGTCGCCTCTGCTTTGATAATTTATCAGATGAACAGCTTATAGCTTTAAGTGGTTCTCTTCTTTTGCCCATTATCGGCAAATTTTGCAGAACTATTTCTAAATTAGCTGCTTGTTGTCGTCTTCTTTCGATTATGCAGTTGTCATGCTCTATTGAATTAGAACGGAAAAAGTTCTTCATATTCTGTTCCATTACAAAAGGCTGAAATTATTTCAAATTTCTTTAAGACTTCACGACTCATCAGATGCATGCTAAATTGTGAGACGAAACTAAAAGACAGTATATATGAAAAACTAAATCTGGTTAAAACCTGAACCTATTCTGAAATATTCCAGTCATTACCGTAAATGTTCTAGAAATGGTCAATTTCTGTTTGAAACGTGAAAAAATGAGCGGATCGGTATTAATGTAATATTGGTTTTTAGCAGGAACTTTTTCGAACTTCGAATTTTTTCCTGTTTGATATTCCACAAAGTACACATCCTGCAAAAGTATCAAGTTATTAAAATCTTTGTATATATAATCGCAATATGGTTGCCACCAATTATTAGCCTCCTCTGGACATTTATGAACGCTCCAAATCAATTGAATTAATTGACCAAACGAATCAACTTAACTAATGCCACAATCTTCGCATCTACCCAAAAACTATTACAAACTCAAATTTTCGCTATGATTATTCAAAAATAGTTCTATCCAATAACCAATTAACAATAATCTTAACTAGGAATATACGCACTAAAATCAATCTAAGAGAAACACACCGCTTCTTCATAATGAGGCAGTTTCGGCCTTCCAAGACAATAAATACTTGACTCCAAAGCCAGACAACGTCCAACAACAGCATCAAGTGGAAGTGTATCATACATGCTGGTCGCAAAAAGCTTCAAAAATTTATGATAAAACCTGACATAATAATATCAGCCATATCACGCATGTTAGCATATACAGGGCGCTAATCAACGATTTTTTTTAAGTTGATATACTATGAAAAGCACCAAATAAATACCAGTAATTCCGATCTCAACTTCAAACAAATCTTTCTCCCTCTTATCAATGCACAGGATTTACACACAACATGAACGCATATATAATCTAATGCAAGAAGAGAAATTCACCTCTTTCTCGTGGAATAATTTGCCCGGTTCACAATAGACTTCATGTGGTCGTGCGTAATAGAAGCCAAAAACGAATTTATGCCCTTCGAACGAGAAAAGACGTTCGATACGGAAGCATCGAACATCCTTACGATGAAATGATACTGGATAAAATTCTTTATCGATCTCTTCTAGTTTAGTAGGAATTACGTCTGCCACTGGACCACTTTGTTTCGTGCATTCCACCAATCGCCGTAGTATCAATTTATGCTAAAATAAATAAATGCATTTGATTAGGCAGAACTGCCATTGGCTTTGATTAAATCATTTGAAAAACCTACGTAAAGAAAACAAAATATTTCCTTTTGTTTTAATCTAACTTGCAATGCAAAAAAACAAGCAGAGAAATTTAATTTTTTTAAAAATTAATAAATTCCCTTACATTATCGTTTTCAAGTTTTTGCACATATACCGTTTCACTGAGACGCACTTGCAAATGCCGTATATTTACCAATGTCCGATAATACGTACAGTTCTTGAAATTATAGTCGGGTTGAATACGCAGCGGAATTGATGCCGTCGACGTGCGTTGAGCATTTCGAAAACAAATGATACAAACAAAATCCTGAAGTAAATTTAGGTGATATTTTAAGACCAAGTTCGAAAAAATGCTAAAAGTGTGGAGAGTTGCGAAAATCCAAATTTGTTTTTTGTTTAAAGATCTAACACTCCACATATCTTAAAGTCATTGCAAAACATTACTTTAATTTCATCAGATGGTTTCTCATCGAAAACGCATTCTTCGTGAAGCCAAAAATTGCACTTTTCGCATTGTATCATAGGTCCGTCGTCATCCGTAGTACCACATATGCAACGCACACAATCCGTATTAGCGTCAGCTATGCTAAGATACGAAAAACTGTCCTGATCATATGAGCCAACCGGAATCTACAAGCAAAAGTTCTTAATTAGCAAAATTACAATAAAAACATTTCCAAAGTATTTCAAGAGTATTAAATATTTTTAAGGGTATCTCAAAGATAAATTTCTGAAGGCACTATAAGTGAAATGAAACCATGAAAGAACATGAACAAACATACAGGAGAATCAAGGTATCTGTAATTAATTGCCGCTGCCAACGTCCGATGAGGTCCAGTTTTAGATTTCCTTCGGCTCTGATGATGCTGCTGATAATCACTTTTACCATATTTTCTCGCTTGACGCGAGTGTTTTGCTTTTATCGAAGCAAAACTTGTGCGCCAAACATCCAACTTTCGCCGATCCAGAGGTTTGCCAGATTTACTAAGCAAACTGTTAACTTTCAGTTCGATGGATTCCAGCATTTCCAAGACTGTCTGTGTGGAAGTATGCTGCTCAAGAAGCTCAGTAACGAAGTTTGACAATTTTTTGAGCTGCTTTTTAGAAGCTACTTTAGAATCATTAAACTTCATGACCACTTCTTGACAAAGCTGTTCCAAATGTACATCGCCGTTAATCGTTGACGGATTTGTCAAAGACGTTTTTGAAGTTCTGCTTCGAGATCGAGATCCTGAAAAACAAAATCAAAATGTTTCGCTTGCCATAGCAGAAAAAATATTCTTCCAGAATATATTCCTGCTTGAATAAATCGTGGTATTATAAAAAACAGCCATCTCTTTAGGTTCACCACAATTAGCAGGACATATAGTGTAGAGTGCATGCATTTTAACGCCTACAATTAATTATCAAATTAGTTCTAACTACTTATTAGACTAATTATTGAAGCTGCCACAACAATTTATCTCACTGGAATATACTGTTATATTTTTATCCCTAACCACCAGCACAGTTATAGTATGACCTCATCTGATCTTTTGCGGACGACTATTAAGTTGTGATATTGAAGCATCTAACAAAAACAGAAAACCTTACCTTTTCTAAATTTCTTTAATTTACATGCTGCCGATTTTTGTACATTTCGCAGCAAAAGCAAACGCGTGTTACGTGCTAGTTCCTTCTCCCGATTATTCATAATAACATTTTTATTAAGGAAATGCCGACAATTCGGAGCGCCACAACAGCATATCGTTACATCATCAAATTCAAATGCATCCCAGTTATAATCATATGTAAGCTCTTCACCCTCATGAATTCTACGTAGAGAAAACAAGCCAATTCGATAGTAACCGTTAACAGACCTGCAACTAACGCCAATTCAATAATGCATTTATAATTACCCAATAGTACCAAAAAAACTACTTCATCAGTAAAGAGGTGAAATGTAATCTTTTATGGCATTTCGGCATTGTAAATAAAATCTCAATCCGAACCTTGAAGGATGCATAAGAACTAAGATGAAATAAACAAAATCTGGAAGTGTTGGTGCTATAATATAACTTACCAACGCTGCATCTCACAGTTTGGAGCACAGGAATGATTGATGAATCGTGCAATATTTCCTTTACGATACGCATCAACGACAAAACCTGGACAGAGGTTCAATGCATAATGATTTCGTTGATAACAGTAATCAGTACGACTTCGAGTATTAAATGTTTCCATTGAAACAACCTCACCGATATATTCACATATGAACTGCAAAATTTTCAATACTATTGATTATATCTCTCATAGAATAAATTTACTCGAATTCATTAAGCATAAAACAAAAATAAACATCATGTTGCAATTGCAGGCTGACACAAATGGTTCAAAAATTATCCCTTTAATTAAAAGTGAGACTAACGGAACTGTAAAATAGTATTTACGGCAATATGATTAAATATACAGTGTCAGAAAGAAACTAGATATCTCAGTTCAAAAGAATCTACAAGCCTTTATCTTATCCAATTAAAAATGTTCCGCGAAATAGATTTCAAACATGGAATAGGGGTGCAATCATTTTCGAATGTTCTTACAAAAAAAAAATAATTTAAAAAAAATGAAGGACATATTCGCAATAAATCGACTTTTAGCACTAGAACAATGTTCATGTTTCTCTCAACCGTCGACGTCTTCATGATGTCTAATTAAGATAATAGTGAATGGTGACACGCGACATCAATGTATTAATTACTTACAAAATGTTAAATGAGGTTTGTCAATGTAATCGTGTCACAGATGCTTATCAACCAATAATAAATAAGGCCAAATAAAACTCAACAAGTACTTACTTGTCCTTTATCAATATTAACATCCGTTTTCACACCAATACCACAACCATTCATCGTTTGGAAAGTTCGCAAACGTTCAACACACTCACGCCGAAACAACCGTTTATTAGTACAAAGAGCATTTCGTGGACAGCTACTACCACATTCCATCAATACAACTCTGGAATAAAAACAAATAATAAAGACAAGAATGCCTTGATCCTTGACCTTCTAAAAAAAATTTATAATGCAAATACACAAAAACCTACCGATTCAAGCATTCATCACTTTCACCGCAACATCCAGAAGAGCAAGAGCATTGCATCTGTTCGATTTTTGGATAGGCATCAACGATCACATCTGCAGCCCATTAGGCATTTCAGTTCATTCAAATTTATTGAAGTGTAACGAAAAAGTCGTAGTAGGTTAAAAAAAACTCCACTATGACGACCGAAATGCACCCAATGACGTATTGGGTGCATTTCGGGTAAATATAACTATTTACAACAAAGAAAAGATTAAGGTGAGCAAAAATGTTACAAATCGAACACCCAGAAATTCTAACAGGTTAGTCTGAACTATAAAAATTTTTGATAAAAGAAGATGACTAACTTTGTTTCAACTTAATGTAATCACCGAGTGAACGACGACTTTTTTCACACATTTTTGATGATGATGGTGTAACACTAAAAAATTAAGTGAATGAAATAGCACTCAAATTGAAGAAAAACGGATTTATAAAATTATTTGTAAAGTGCAAGATCTCTCCCCTTCAATCATGGCACATTTTAAACTCATACATCAACTGCGGCTGGAAAATGAAGACGCAGTGATTCATCCATCAGCTGATGTCATCAATTCAATATTTGAAAAATTCGATTTCAAAATTAACATAAGTTTGCAAATTTAAATGGGTTGACAAATATTTTATTTTTAAGAGGAGAAATGACGTATCATCCCTACCTTGCAACAAAAGAATCACTCTTTCTTAATTTCTGTAACTTTCTCTCCCCAATCCGGCATGTTTTTAAACCGTTTTTTTCTTTTGATTTTTCGAGTCGATTTCTTTCAATTAACCTGAAAGATAAAAAGCTAAAAATGACGGGAACCATGAAACCTTAAAATTAATTCCCTTGGTTTTCTTGCGAAGAAAAATTTCCTCTAAGATGTTTAACCTATTCATGCGGTTTTATTGGCTTAATATAGTACAAGTCCTTATGCTGCTTTAGGACCTTTATTCTAATATGAATGTCCAAAATGGCAAACCTTCGAGTAACTTCCTTCCAATTCAAATGATACCACGGTAAATCCCAATGCCTCCGATCACCTAAATTCAGTTCCAGATTGGCAAATTGTCTGCCGATTTGTTCAATGACGATTTTTAGTTTCTCATTTATTTTACGCTTCATATCCAAATGAAGTTCTTTAATTTGATTCGCCATATTCTCAGCCGGAAATTCTAAACTAACATTCGGCTCCGCAGAATCAACACCTCCAGCAAATTCTTGATATCCTTCAGGAATTTCCTCGTAAGTTACCTTTTTCTTCTCTAATTTTCCTGTGGGAAACTTCTTTTCAGCTATAAACTTCTTCCTCTCCTGTTTCTTTCGTTCCTTACATTTTCTTTCTTCTGTTTGCACTTCAGCTTCTAAATTTCTGAGCGATAAAGGTATTTGCCCTTTCATGCTATTTGCATTTATCTTTTCACTTAAATCCAATTCAACATTTGAACATTCTACGACAACATCATTCGGTACTTCCCTTCGTTTCATCTTCCGCGCTAGCTTCCCTGAAACCGGCTCGCTACAAACTTCCATTTTGCGTTTACGAGTTCTTCGTCTCCTTTCCGGAACCTCGCTTCTGAGTTCCGGAATTTCACTTTCAACGTCGTGGCCCTCACATGATCGTGCTTTTGACCCGTTAATTTCGGTTTGCGCAGCAACTTCATGTTCTGGTTCTTTCGGTAACAATTCCATTAATTTATCGTCATGGATAGTCGTAGCATTATCAGTTGTAGTGGTCATATTTGGAACAGAAGTAATATCGGTAGTTGTGGTTGCAACATTACTAGCACCACCATAAGGAGTACTTGTAACAGTAGTAGTAGTGGTGGTAGTGATAGTAGTAACAACAGTACTGCTATCAATTGCTGTAATGTCATCAACAGCAACTTTCGACTGAATGGCACTAGCAAATTGTTTGCGCTGTTGAGGATCCATATGTGACATTAGTTGTTCCACCAAATCCGTGACATTCATTGCTGGCGTAATTGCTATTTTTGGAATGTTATCATCCGATTCTTTCTTTGTTTTTTCTTGAGATACAGCTACAGTTTCACCATTCTGTTCAGTATTCTTTCCTTCATCTTCCATTAATGTATCCTCCACTTCAGCAGTTTTGAGAACAACGCTGTCGGGTAGTGGTGCTTTTGTCATAAATGGTGGTGGTTCTTCCGTTAACGGCGAACCACTTTCCGCTTCCATTTGATGAAAAGGTATCAGATGCGGCATATCGGAATAATCGTCGGAATAGCTCATCGAATTGCCTGTTGATTGTGGAACTTTGTTTTTACTCACCGTCGTAGTCATCTGGAAATTGCAGAAATTCTAACATAAAGAACCAATTACATCTTACACAGAAGTGAAATAATGAACCTCTATTTCGGACTCCAAATTTGTCACTTTTTGACACAAAGTTCGAGTGGTCATCATGTTAATTACGCAAATGTTCATTAATCGTACAAAGAGACTCAGGGTAATAAAGCCACCTGTTTAATTGAAAGTCCAAAGATTTTCATAAACTTCCACACAAATGTTTTTCAAAACCCACCGAAGGGGGAGGAATGTACGGTGTCGGCGGAGTGAACGGATCAGCTGGTGGCGAATCAGCGATACTTTGGATCCCACTATCCGCTATAGGGGAACAGTTTGTCACAACGTTGTAATTACTTTGATAGTGACAAGATGATATTCCACCATTTATATCAACCTGGAAATAAGCATTTTCATGAATTCCATAATTTGAATCTTTTTTTTAAGTAAAATAATGCTAAACGTAAGTCTGGATGAAATGATGACTCATGTTAAAGTTGAGATATGAAACCTATTTATAATTAATGCTTATCTAATTTAAAGCATGGAATAAGAAATTCCTTAAAACAATAGGTTTTAGAAGCTGCAGTTCGGCAGTGCATGATTCGACAAAAATGTAATAGCACAAACGTTATAATGTGATCCGAAGGTAAAAAAAATATGATATCAAATACAAACCTGCATATGTGCCTGGTAACTAGCTTGCACGGGTGTACATACCGAAGAATCTTGGATATGCATCACTGGAGGGGCTGTATTATGATAGTGATGCTGCTGTGGTGGTGGAGGAGGTGTCATATTATGCTGCTGAGCATAATGATTAGGAGTTATCATTACTGTCTTATCAATTAAATGCTGTGATTGTTGTTGACGCAAAATTGGGGGATTAAAATCAACATGTGTCATGTCCTGTAAATCAAACCATTTAGATGAAAACAGTTAAGGAAACTAAAACATTTCTACGAAAATTTGGTAAAAAGTGTCAAAATTTGAATAATTTACGACAGACATGTCTTTACTCCTTTTAACTCTGCTCGCTGTGCCATTACCCGAAATTTCGTGAATATACTATTCGTCTCTTTATTGACTAGAATCAAGTCGACCGAAACAGCGACAACCTAACGGATAGATTAAGCTAAATGATCTGGCTGGTTGGAATTATTCATTGTTATCAAGAGTTCTGCGTACGGCCCTGTTCAGCCTGCAGCCGTGATATTAATCAAAACAGACATTACGCTGAGTAAACAGATAGTTAGTAGGACGACAAATAGAAAAGAGATTTTTCCAAAACTGAAAAATATCTCCAACACCTGAAGTAAATCGATGTCGGATTTGCCGGATGAAAAGCTTTGCGTTATAGAAGATATGGGTGGAAAAAACGACGTGGTGCTTGTACACGGCATTTGACAATCGTATGATTCATTTAGGTTCATTTGTGGTACAACCTGAAATTAACGAATCATATTACTTTTGTCATTTTATGAAATCTTATAAACCGATTCATAGTATAAAACACAGATTCCCTCATTCCCTGCAAATACAAAATTTCCTAGCGATATGCTACAAATTCATATTAAAGACAACCTGCGAAGGCGAAGGTGATTCGAAGGAACCACTACTGACATTTGAGCGCGGTGCCGCATGTAACCAGCCATCAGTACTACAATGCTGGGGTTGCTGTTGCTGCTGCGGTTGAAGATGATGGTGTTGAATAGATGGCGGTGGTTTCGGAGGTGTCGGATGGTGTACCGGTTGCAGAACCGGTGGCGCTAAATGTGCCGAGGTACAAGGTGTGGGTTGTATTCGTAGAACGCTTGGAACCACCAGTTTTGGTGCAGACGTTGCAATAGCAGCCGACTGCTTTTGGATAGTTGCAGGTACTACATGCAACGATTTTGGAACACTACCTGATGGCACCGTTACTGAAGCTGTGGTACTAACTGTTGCATTTGAAACCTGAATTAACATTTTTTATGTTCTGCATTCAACTGAGAATTTCCTAGCATCACCAAAATATCAGCTCCTAATTGTATTTTGTACCAACTAGCCAGAGAAGGACCAGTAGTCGAGGGCCTCTTAAACATTTCCCATTATCAAAGCGCGATAAAGTGCCGGATCATGATCAAAAACCAGTTGGCTCTCTATTTCTTAAACTAATCAAACACAATGCTAGTGTTTACAAACTGAGATATGCAAACATCCAATAATTCCCGTCATGTACTACCGAACTCTGTTTACTTAGTCCGAATTATTCTTTAATCCTTAGTCTTCAAAAATATACTAAAAACATTATTAAAAAAGTGCTAACATCTTGTTCGTTTTCGAACTAAGTGAGCTTTTAAACTCCTTTTTTTTTACTTTAAATCAACAAACTTCCATGAATTACAATTTTTCACAATAATGACTTTTGTACGAAGTACCCATCCGTCACTATGGATATTTCTAAACTAAATATTTTACCTGCCACTTATTCAGGATATAAAAAGCACAATGCGATTCAGTACTATAATGTCATATGTTTTTTTTTGCTTCTGGGAAATCAAAAATTTTCACGAGAAGATAAACAAACCGTTTGACCGGTAGTATTATTGGTCGATGAGGTGGATGGTCGAATAAGAAAGCCAATAGTACAATAAGACGAACTATTACCACCGTTGGCTGCACTACGAAGCACACACGGTACTGCTTCCAGTCCCATTCTATTGTCGTCTGTCGTAATATAAATATCCTTTTTACATATCGTTTACTGCAACTACAATGGCTGCAAGTAACTAATATATCATACAAAATTATGCTTTCAAATCTTAAACTATCGATTCCAATACGTTTGCGTCAATAAGGATGAGTAATAATAATATTGCTATACTAAAACCACATAAGGAATATACTTTACGAAAATTAGAACAATAGAAACACTTAAAAATACTCTGTAACCAAAAACTCTAAAACTAACTACATCACAGAAATGAATAATATATTTCTTCTATTAAAACATGATCAAATGAGATATAATCAGAAACGATGAATAAAAATATGATGAATATTATATTGAGTATGGACAAAAATTTGCTAATTACTGTATTATTGATAATCATTTTTAGTCTTACAGAATGCATCCATTTCCAACTTTAGTGTCAAGCAATCAAATAATTTGCAAAAATTTAAACAGACTAATTTCAAATTTAGTAAACAAAATATGCACGAGAGTATTTTTTGTTTAGGAATATTTGAATTTAAATTATGAAATTCCTTCCTCTCTTATTCATATTATTGCAAAGTTTTAATACGTTCAATTATTGCATAAAAATCGCTAAGTAAAATATGGTGCAACAAAGACTAATTAAATTACACTTCAAAAAAGAAAGCTAATAAGCAAATGACTAATAAGCTAATAAACTAATCAGCAAATTTACAATGACAAAAATTAATAGAGCTATTTAAGCATACGAAGAGATAACAATGAGATCATTGCTTTATCAACCTTATAATAAATTATTAAATAAGCAAGTAAATTGATACCACTAAATCATCATCATCACTGCTATCATTATCATCATTTATCTGTCTATTCATCAGATATCATCGCTATCACTATCATAATTCATTATCAAAATATGCGTAACTTAACATACGCATGTTTATCATTACGATAATAATAGCGATAATATCTGATGTAGCAATTAATCATTTAGCATCAATTAATATTATCAATGATGCACCGACTGATTGCTAATGAATCACACTGAATCACACAAATATTATTTCTTGTTAAATCACATTTATGATATTGATGAAATTAAATTTCACTTTTCTTCTAAAGTATTAATAGCAAGAAAAGATTGACTTATGAAGAATAAATGACAAGTTGAGAAAAAAAATCCATGACATTTTAAAGTGCAAAAGCAACAAGTTCACGGTGTTGTAGATAAATAAAGCTGTGTAAATAAGTCGTAAAGTAAACAAAACAACTATGCATAATACATTAAACTTATGAACCATTACAAGCTGACGCAAAAATTTTAATAAATTAACTTTAATACTTTTTTTCTAATTCGTACTTTTCAACAAACAATGTTTTATGAAAAAGAATAAATTAATGACTACCACAGATGCAATTTCCTTTATCACCTGTTTAATTAATGGGTTTTATTTTGCTTATCATTAATTTGGCAGTTATGTGCTAATAATACAACAAACCATAAACAAATCATTTTACATGCAAAAACAGGTAAAATAATTATCATCTTATTTAAAAGATAATTTCAAACAATTGCAGGACAATAATTAAGTAAAGAGAAATTATTAGGATCATATCATATAACTTATCTATGCCATCCTCTATTAACCATATTAAGCAATTAACTATCACTATTAACAATAGTAAGAGACCAATTACGATAACAATAATAATGATGAAGTGCCCTTATTAATAGGGTTACATGGAATGTTCGGTAATTAAGGATTAAATGGCGGATGAATGCGGCAAACTAATCAAAAAAGCGATAACCGGATTGTTTCTACGACAAATATGATCAAACGATAGTTATCTGATAATTATTATTATGGGTGATGGTTATAAAAGATAACTAGTATAAAACATTGATTGATTGATTAATTGATAATGGTGATAATGAATGATTGAAATATGAGATGAATCATGATTACAAAATAATGAAAGGATAATAGACTAAGTAGAAAATAATTGCCATAATCGTCAAAGACAAATATTGATAATTAGTTATGAGAAAATAGCCAACAATGTCAACAACAACGATGATAGAAATAACCACTGAAAAGAAGATAATGGAAACAATGCCATGCAGCAAAAATATAATAGCAAATGCAAATAATAAGAATAATAATAACGATAATAATTATTATTATAATAGTTATAATAATAAAAGCGTTAATAGTAATAACAATAATAATAATAATAATAACAGTAGTAATAACAATGGTAATGTAGTAGTGTTGATAAATGGATGAACGAATGGATGAACAAATGATGGTAATGTTTAGACAGTGTGTTTGTAAGAGGTACTAAGTGAGGTGCTAAGTGGACTTTGGTAGTAGTGGTGATAGTGTGATGGAAAAGGAGGAAAATGAGGAGGAGGTAGTAGTTAGGTTAGAGCGGGGGAGCGGGTACGAGAAATGGAGTAAAGAAGGACGCGCGACCGCAACTCCCAATACATCGTCGATCCGTCGTCGTCCATCGACCTCATCAATAAAATGGGTCCATTACTATCATCTAACATATGTTGAGTATTCTCTCTATCAGATACTAGGGCAAAACAGCAAACAGATTTTCGAGTATCCCTTAGGGGTTTGAAAAGAGAGAGAGAGAGAGAAGGAGAAAAAGAAGAAAGAATTGAAATGTATTGCTGAATGTTGCTTGCACAACTAAGATATTTTCATGAATGAGAAAGAAAAAGTATGACAGAGAGGAATGAGTGAGAGAGAGAGACAGAGAGATAGTAGGAAAGGTGGTTATTTCCCTCTTATAGAGAGAAGAGGTTACAAATGAAGAATAATTGAAAGAAAATGGGAATTCATCCAGATATTTACACCCCTCTATTTCTTTAACGATACACACACACATATATATATATATCAACCTTTCCGAGGTTGACATCGTTGACAAGGGTGACGACGTTGTCTTCTCTACTATCTTTCTTTTCCCTTCTTTCCTCATTCTTCGTATTCATCATCCGTTATGTTGATATCTATTTTTTCCTTTCTCTCTTTTCTTCTCTCAACTTTTCTTTTTAATAGAATTTGTATTTTCCTGAAATATATTGTCTTTTCATTCAATTTATATCCTTGCTCTCTCTCTCTCTCCTCTCTTTTCTCTTCCATTCCCGATCAACTAACTAACACTCTTTCACTCTTTTATAACAATTCCACATTCTACCAAAATTTGACACCCTCACCTATTCTTTCCCTCTATTTACTTGCAATATGCATTTCTCCTTAACTTCACCACTACCTTGAATAGCTATAGCTTACTTACCAGGCTATCATCATCATCATCATCATCATCAATGGCTACCATCACCCATCATACCAGCATCAACTAATTCATTTCCCTTTACTCTCTTATCAATTTCATTAATGACACTTCTACTACTACTACAACTACAACTACTATTACTACTACCACTATCACTACTAACATACAACCAACCGTGCAACATTTCCCCTATGCCCACCTCATTACACACGCATACATAGACAAATCATATAATGAATCATTACCGTCACGTTACGTGAACTGACAAACTTGTACATGTTATAATTTGTGATACACAATTATCGTTAAATAAATGACAGATTAATTGATACAGTGATTGACATTATTTTCCTTCAACTCTCTCCAATTATGCAAACAGGCTAAAAAAATATGACTTAGTGAAGCAATAACAAAAAATACACGTAGAAATACAGAGATACACTTGCACGTAGAAATACAGAGATACACTTGCACGTAGAAATACAAAGATATACTTGCACGTAGAAATACAAAGATATACTTGCACGTAGAAATACAAAGATACACTTGCACGTAGAAATACAAAGATACACTTGCACGTAGAAATACAGAGATACACTTGCACGTAGAAATACAGAGATACACTTGCACGTAGAAATACAAAGATATACTTGCACGTAGAAATACAAAGATACACTTGCACGTAGAAATACAAAGATACACTTGCACGTAGAAATATAGAGATACATTTGCACGTAGAAATACAAAGATACACTTGCACGTAGAAATATAGAGATACATTTGCACGTAGAAATACAAAGATACACTTGCACGTAGAAATATAGAGATACATTTGCACGTAGAAATACGAAGATAACACTTGCACGTAGAAACACAGAGATACACATTGCATCCAAAATTACACGTAAAAAAATATTTGTAACAATACGGATATGCACGTAAAAATAATAGCTATTATAAAAGCGTAAAAAAAAAAAAAAAACACATGAAAATGCCATCATTCAATACAAGCAATACTATTATTTCATTTCAATAAAAATGAACTATTTCATTTCAATAAATTTTGAAAAATTACACACACACACACACACACACATACACAATATGTGAAATGTGTCAGTAACAAATTAACAATACACACACACACACAACACACACATACACACACATACACATACACAATATGTGAAATGTGTCAGTAACAAATTAACAATACACACACACACACACACGCACATACACAACACATACACACACATACACAATACGTGAAATGTGTCAGTAACAAATTAACAATAATAATTTAAAATTTACGATAATCTTTTTTTTTTTTTTAATGTGTGTTGTTAGGAAAATTATTGCTAAAGAAGTTTTTCCTCATTTACATTTCTACAAAGGTGAAAATTATTATGAAATTAAATCGAAATGAAAATTACATTGACTTTTCTTTTGATTTTTTTTTTTCACATAAAAATTTTTAATTTCAAACAAAATTATTTTTCAAATATATATTTTTTTTAGGGAGGGAAAAAGAGAGAGAGAGAGAGAGAGAGAGAAATGAACGAATGATTTCATATATGTTTCTTTTTTAAAAGAAAAATTTTGCACTTGAAAATATATAATAATAATATATTGTGAAATTACATTCTTTTTCATCATTTTTGTTTCTTTCGTTCGTTCGTTCGTTT